TTGTACAATAAAAGCCGCCGTTTTTTATTACTTCCTGTCCTTCGATTAGCAAGAAATCTCGGCCACATATCAGAAAAAACCCAGCGATTATCTAAAAATAAAAATTGGATATGCTTATATAGAAATTTTTTGAGAAAAAGGACAAAATGCCAAAAGGTAATTTTCACTCACTCAATAGGAAATAGTATGGGCGCCATTGGTGGCCGCGCGCTCGCCCCAATGTTTTTGCACCCCCTGCAATATGGCGGGAGAAACCTTGGAAAGGCCTATTCAAGGTTGAGGAGACAGCTATAGTTCTGAGTATACGTACACTATGTTTGTTAAACATTTGATATAACGCATTTATTGAAACGTTTTGGGCATATTAATTTTTGGCCGTATAAAAACGGTGATCCGATACACTATTAAAACTTACTTGATTGCGCTTAATTTGCGCTACTAATTGCTGGAATTTCGCTGACATAGCTGTACAGTATATCCCTCCTGGTAGATTCACCAACATTGTATTCTTGAAATGCATATCCAAGCCAACAAACGCTAGTAAACCACCCAACAAGAAGAACAACGAAGAGCATAATAAAACTGAAGTGCTGCGTTATAAAAGCACGCAAATTTGTCTTCACACACATAAATATGAGGTGTATTTGTATAGCTCGAGGCTTGGCCGTCAGCCTGTCTACATGGCCAAGATGCGCAAACCTGATTAGATATCAGATAAAATTGGCAGAAAAGACATTTAGAGTTAGATTCATGTAGAAATGAATAATATAAAAGTACAGACCTTTAAGACAGCTTTTTCTATTAATGTTTCAGAAATTGCACTTTTCCAAATGTCACTCAATTTGAAATGACAAATTTAATACAGTAGTTATTATTATTATATATACCTTCATTAACATAGAAACAACAAATTCTGTTCAGCTATTTCTATATGAATAGCTAGTGTATAATTCTTTACAGACTCGTGTAATATACGATCGTAAAGTTAACATTCATTAAACATGCATCATGAATTATTCATGATTTACCATAATCCACTAAAATTCAAGAACACTGTTCATGAATAGTTCATGGTAGTCCACCAAGTGAAATCATGAACGTTCATGTTTCAGGACATATTCATTAAAATTTCATGGTATGTTCATCAAGTAAATTCTATGAATTTTTCATGAATAATCAGTTCATGAAATATTCAAATGAACATTCATGAACATTCATGAACTATTCTGTTCAAAACAAAAAGTTCATGAACTGATTGGCCATTCATCAACTGTTCATGAACACTTCATGAACACTTGTTCATGAACCGTAGGTAAAATATTTGATGAACCGAGCATGAACAGTTCATGAATTTACATAAACGTTCATGAATGCACCATCAAAGTTCATGACTTCATGAACTAATTTTCGCCGGGGTATATTTCTATATTTCTATATTTCTATATTTCTATATTTCTATCTTTCTATCTTTCTGTCTTTCTGTATTTCTGTATTTCAGTATTTCTGTGTATTTCTGTGTATTTCTGTATATTTCTGTATATTTCTGTATATTTCTGTATATTTCTGTATATTTCTGTATATTTCTGTATATTTCTGTGTATTTCTGTGTATTTCTGTATATTTCTGTATATTTCTGTATATTTCTGTATATTTCTGTATATTTCTGTATATTTCTGTATATTTCTGTATATTTCTGTATATTTCTGTATATTTCTGTATATTTCTGTATATTTCTGTATATTTCTGTATATTTCTGTACCCACCGGGCACACGACGTTGTTTCAACGTTGAAATTTGGTGGAAAAAAGGTTGCGACGTCGACAACCTAATATCTACGTTGCTCTGGCGTTGTTTTACAAACATTGGTTCAACAGCAGCCAACAGACGTTGAATTAACGTTCTATTATTATTATTATTATTATTATTATTATTATTATTATTTAAAAATATTTTAAAACGGTAACCCTTCAGGGCTCAAATATACACCTGCTTTTCAAGGGGCCGTTTACATGCATCACACTAATAAAATTTCCTAATATAATATTACACACATATTAAAGCTTAGATAAAAATATTTACAAACAAGTATATGTATAGTACTGAAATCATGTACCGTCAAGAATACATTTAAATTTGTTTAAGCCAATGCCTTTTTCTTTAGCTGCAGTGGGCAGGCTGTTCCAAAGTGATGCAGCAGAGTAACTAAAGCTCTTTTTCATAAAGTTTGTTTCCGGCTTTTCAAGTGTATAGTTGTTATCATTACTTCGCAAGTTATACCTATCATTATTTGCAATTTTGAACATGTTTGTTAAAGACGATGGGAGTGCGTCATTTCTTAGTTTATGCAAGAAGCTCGTCTTATTGTTTTTGTGTCGATTTCTAAGGGGTTGCCAGTTTAACTCTTTTAAAACGTTCTCAGAACTTACATCGTATGTGCTACCAGTGATAATTCGCGCTGCTCTATTTTGTAATTTTTGAAGTTTATCAATTAGATATTCACAACAGTTGCCCCATACCAAGCTACAATAATCAAAGTGTGACAACACAATGGCATTGTAGATTTTCAATAATGTTGATTTGGGAACAAACTGTTTCATTCTTCGCATCATCCCTATTCCTTTTGAAACTTTCGTTACAGTATTTTGAATTTGGTCGACCCATGAAAGACGCTCGTCAATAATGACTCCTAAAGTTTTTGATTTATGAACACGTTTAATTTCTGACTCACCGAGTTCAATTTTAGGATCCCCTATTTTATTTGATATACGTTGTCGTGAGCCGATAATCATATATTCAGTTTTTTGTTTGTTGAGTGTAAGTTTGTTTGCAAGTAGCCATTGATGCACATTTTCTAAGTCTGCGTTTAAGCGTTCTTGTATTTCATTGCCAGTATCACCGTGAGTTGAAATGTTTGTGTCATCAGCAAACATGCTTGCTGAAGACAGACTCAGACAATTTGGTAGGTCATTTATATAAAGCAAGAACAGCAGTGGGCCTAGGTTTGAACCTTGAGGTATGCCACATTTAACAGTCCTTGCCTCAGACATTGCTTGGTTGACCTTGCAGATTTGAGTCCTATTTGTAAGATAAGATCGAAACCATGCAAGTGTATGTCCTCTTATTCCATAGATATGCATTTTCTTAGTTAATATATGGTGGTCAACGCAGTCAAACGCTTTTTTGAGATCCAGAAAAATAACACCGTTCAAACAACCCTTGTCCATATTAATTAACCATTGGTTTGTAATGTTAAGTAGGGAGGTTTGTGTGGAATTATTTTTTCTGAATCCTGCTTGCTGTTCCGTAAGTATGCCGTTAGATTCCAGATACGTTTCAAGCTGTTCGGTAATTAATTTCTCAAATATTTTAGAAACTGATGATAGAACAGAGATTGGGCGATAATTATCGCAATTTGTTTTACTTCCAGATTTATGAATGGGTGAAATGATTGCAGTTTTAAAGTCATCAGGAAATACACCCGCATGTATAGATGCATTAAATATGGCTGTTAATGTGGGTGCTATAACTTCAGCCGCATCTTTCAGAAGTTTGCCGGATATTCTATCATGGCCTGCTGACTTGGATGTTTTTATCGTCGAAAGCAATTTAAATACTTTTGTTAATGAGACGTTTTGAATATTAAACCGTGCGTTGGATGAGGTTAAGTAAGACTCTGCCGTCTTGGAACTTTGTGGAATGTCTTTTGATAGGTTTGATGCTACCTCATTGAAATGCGCGTTTAAGCTATTTGCGATCTCCTCTGGTTTTGTCACATTTTGATTGTCATGTTGGATTTCGGATATTAAAGTTGTTTTTGACTTTTTTCCTGTAAGTTTATTAATCGTTTTCCACATTTCTTTGGGATTTTTTTCGCATCCATTCAAAGTGTTCCTAAAATAAGTCGATTTTGTATTTTTAATTAATCTGTTTAGATCGTTACGTGTTCGCTTATAGGCATCATGAAACTGTTTCGATCCTGTTTTAACTGCTTTTTTTTTCAAAAAATCTCTTTGTTTCATAACTTCCCTAATATTATTTGTGATCCATGGAGCATACTCACTTCTAACCTTTTTGGTAGTCTCGGGAGCGTGAAAATCGGCGATTGATAAAAATGTTGTTTTCCATTTTTTCCACATTATATTTGGATCAAGCATAGTATCCCAAAATATTCCGTTGTGTAAATAGATGAAAATATCTGATTTAAAGTTGTTCACGCTGTAATGCTTGAATTGTCTTGTTTTAATAAATTTTGGGTCATTACGAGGAATAGAAATTTTTCTTTGAATATAAATTAAACTATGGTCACTAATTCCCAGATGGATGATTCCTGAACCATTTATTAATTCCGGTTTATTTGTGAATGCTAAGTCTATTAACGTTTTCGTTGTGGACGTAATTCGTGTTGGTTCATTAATCAATTGCTCAAATTGAAAAGTTCCTGCAAGTTCGGCAAGTTTGTTTGTCTGGACATTAGCTTTATTGTTAATTAGGCGAGACCAATCACAATTGAAGTCCCCAATCAAAATAACTTCTTTATTTTCGGAGTCCATTTTAGTAATTAAATCTTCATAATTGTTAAACAATTCTAGTGGTGTATCAGGTGGTCTATACCAACAATTTATTAAAAAGGGTTTAGATTTTGGTTTAGAGATTTCGATTGTGATTGTCTCAAGGTTTTCGTCAAATAAATCGTCTCTTATTATGTAGTTTATTGAATTTCGTATGTAAATTGCTACGCCTCCGCCATGCCGGTTTCTGTCTTTTCTAACAACTTCATAGCCATTTAGCTTTATCTCGTGGTTTGGAACAGACAGATCTAGCATTGTTTCATTTAGGCTAATTATGTCAAATTGTTGTTTGTCAAGGTATATTTTTAATTCATCGATATGCTTGATTAAACTTCTTACGTTTAAGTGGGCAATTTTAAAACCTCTTGTTTTCGGATAGTCGGCATAATTTGCATTTGTATTACGATATGTATTATTGACGGGATCTTGATTTCAATCAAACACTTGGTTTTTTAAAAATTGTTTTACGTTTCCTGCTAGGGTAGATGTCCCTCTTTGGTTTAGATGTAGTCCATAATTATTGAGATGAATTTTAGTTATATTATCATGTTTAATAAGACCCCAGTTATGCTCAGTACATAGTTCATCTAGTTTCTTATTAAAAACATTTACCTTGTCGGCAAGATTCGCATTATCATTTCTAGTTATAACTTCCGAGAGTGTAAGTTCAGTTCCATTTCCTTCTTGAGTAATTGTTTCTCCGAGTCTGCTTATCGCCGTTATTAATGTAACTGGTGATTTGGTTTGAAGGTCGTTCGTACCTACGTGTAAGACAACATGGTTTGGTTTTTTCTGAAGTGTTGGTCTAACGTAATGTATCATCTCGTCTACACCGGCCCCAGGAAAAGTTTTAATCGTGACTTTATGGTCCAATCCGTGTTGAATTTTCCTTGGATTCAAGTGTTTTAACATGGAGTCACCCAGAATGGCAACAGTAGGGCGGTTGTGCTTCGTGTTCTTAGGTATATTTGCTTCTTTGACTTTCTGTGAATCTTTT